GAGGAGGTTGATATCAGGTCACATATATAATCAGGTGCAGAACCATGAACAGCTTTATAAGTTAAAATCAAGGTTTTAAAATCGATGCGTGACTTTACAGGCAACCAGTGTAACTGCTGAAGAACTGGAGTAATGTGAGTGCGAGATGATGTGCGAGTTAACACACGTGCACACAATAAAGTTACACACTAAGAGTTTTACAAAGAAACACTGTTATTATACAGACTTTTCCTAGATTATTACGATCAAATCCGTTCAATAAAGTTACACACTAAGAGTTTTACAAAGAAACACTGTTATTATACAGACTTTTCCTAGATTATTATGATCAAACACCATCAATAAAGTTACACACTAAGAGTTTTACAAAGAAACACTGTTATTATACAGACTTTTCCTAGATTATTACGATCAAATCCGTTCAATAAAGTTACACACTAAGAGTTTTACAAAGAAACACTGTTATTTTACAGACTTTTCCTAGATTATTACGATCAAACACCATCAATAAAGTTACACACTAAGAGTTTTACAAAGAAACACTGTTATTATACAGACTTTTCCTAGATTATTATGATCAAACACCATCAATAAAGTTACACACTAAGAGTTTTACAAAGAAACACTGTTATTATACAGACTTTTCCTAGATTATTACGATCAAATCCGTTCAATAAAGTTACACACTAAGAGTTTTACAAAGAAACACTGTTATTATACAGACTTTTCCTAGATTATTACGATCAAATCCGTTTAATAAAGTTACACACTAAGAGTTTTATAAAGAAACACTGTTATTATACAGACTTTTCCTAGATTATTATGATCAAATCCGTTCAATAAAGTTACACACTAAGAGTTTTACAAAGAAACACTGTTATTATACAGACTTTTCCTAGATTATTATGATCAAACACCATCAATAAAGTTACACACTAAGAGTTTTACAAAGAAACACTGTTATTTTACAGACTTTTCCTAGATTATTACGATCAAATCCGTTCAATAAAGTTACACACTAAGAGTTTTACAAAGAAACACTGTTATTATACAGACTTTTCCTAGATTATTATGCTCAAATCCGTTCAATAAAGTTACACACTAAGAGTTTTACAAAGAAACACTGTTATTATACAGACTTTTCCTAGATTATTACGATCAAATCCGTTCAATAAAGTTACACACTAAGAGTTTTACAAAGAAACACTGTTATTATACAGACTTTTCCTAGATTATTATGATCAAACACCATCAATAAAGTTACACACTAAGAGTTTTACAAAGAAACACTGTTATTATACAGACTTTTCCTAGATTATTACGATCAAATCCGTTCAATAAAGTTACACACTAAGAGTTTTACAAAGAAACACTGTTATTTTACAGACTTTTCCTAGATTATTATGATCAAACACCATCAATAAAGTTACACACTAAGAGTTTTACAAAGAAACACTGTTATTATACAGACTTTTCCTAGATTATTATGATCAAATCCGTTCAATAAAGTTACACACTAAGAGGTTTACAAAGAAACATTGTTATTATACAGACTTTTCCTAGATTATTACGATCAAATCCGTTCAATAAAGTTACACACTAAGAGTTTTACAAAGAAACACTGTTATTATACAGACTTTTCCTAGATTATTACGATCAAATCCGTTCAATAAATTTACACACTAAGAGTTTTACAAAGAAACACTGTTATTATACAGACTTTTCCTAGATTATTATGATCAAACACCATCAATAAAGTTACACACTAAGAGTTTTACAAAGAAACACTGTTATTATACAGACTTTTCCTAGATTATTACGATCAAATCCGTTCAATAAAGTTACACACTAAGAGTTTTACAAAGAAACACTGTTATTATACAGACTTTTCCTAGATTATTACGATCAAATCCGTTCAATAAATTTACACACTAAGAGTTTTACAAAGAAACACTGTTATTATACAGACTTTTCCTAGATTATTATGATCAAACACCATCAATAAAGTTACACACTAAGAGTTTTACAAAGAAACACTGTTATTATAAAGACTTTTCCTAGATTATTACGATCAAATCCGTTCAATAAAGTTACACACTAAGAGTTTTACAAAGAAACACTGTTATTATACAGACTTTTCCTAGATTATTACGATCAAATCCGTTCAATAAATTTACACACTAAGAGTTTTACAAAGAAACACTGTTATTATACAGACTTTTCCTAGATTATTATGATCAAACACCATCAATAAAGTTACACACTAAGAGTTTTACAAAGAAACACTGTTATTATACAGACTTTTCCTATATTATTACGATCAAATCCGTTCAATAAAGTTACACACTAAGAGTTTTACAAAGAAACACTGTTATTATACAGACTTTTCCTAGATTATTATGATCAAACACCATCAATAAAGTTACACACTAAGAGTTTTACAAAGAAACACTGTTATTATACAGACTTTTCCTAGATTATTATGATCAAACACCATCAATAAAGTTACACACTAAGAGTTTTACAAAGAAACACTGTTATTATACAGACTTTTCCTAGATTATTATGATCAAACACCATCAATAAAGTGACTGCACTAAAAGTTCAAGAGAAACAGTGTTATTTAAAAGAATTTTCCCTAAATCATTACGATTAAACACCTTTAATAACATGCCAAGACATGCTCATGGTTGTAATTTAAGTTTTATTTTGGATCAAAAAGTTTTGGAAAAAACAACAAACGACATACAACTGATTAAAATTCTCACAATCTTAAAATTACAGTTGTAACATTTTATTGAGTAGTATTTATGTAAATCATGTAGAGGTTTAAGTTATATGGAATGATTCAGTTACAGATCTTAAATGAAATGGAACTGTAAGGTGAAGGGGACGTTGAAAAAGGAGTGCAGATCCAAATGCAGGTTTATTACACAGAGATGGTCAGGCAAACAACAGTCAACACATGGGGTAATCAGTTCATAACGATCCTCTGACTGTGTGTGTGCAATAAGCGGAATCCGGAACAGGTGCATGTGAGCGCACTTAGTGTGTAACTTTATTGAACGGATTTGATCATAATAATCTAGGAAAAGTCTGTATAATAACAGTGTTTCTTTGTAAAACTCTTAGTGTGTAACTTTATTGAACGGATTTGATCGTAATAATCTAGGAAAAGTCAGTATAATAACAGTGTTTCTTTGTAAAACTCTTAGTGTGTAACTTTATTGAACGGTTTTGATCATAATAATCTAGGAAAAGTCTGTAAAATAACAGTGTTTTTCTGTAAACATTTCAATGAAAATATCATTACAATGTACAGTAATAATTACAATTTATCACTTTAATTTTACGTAATTTTAAATGTACTTCATAAAAAACAGGAAAAAACACTGTGTAAATAATACGGCGATTTTATTGTATAAAACAGACAAATTGCTGTAATTTTCCATTACTTATATAGTACATAAAATAACGGTCAAGTTGTTAATTTACAGATACTGTTTGTAATTTTTATGGATTTTTGAATAAAATTTAAAATAACAGAAAAAAATACTGTATAAATAATACTGTAATTTCCCTGAATAAAAAACAAAAATGTTCGTAATTTGTCTTTAATGATAAAGTACCTAAAATGAAAGTCAAACTGTGAATTTAGAGAGATTGTTTGTCATTTTACCAGGGCTTAACATTAACTTTTTTGACCACCAGCCACTGTGGCTAGTTTTCAAACATTATTAGCCACTCGCCATTTTCTCTAGCCACAATTGTATTGTTGGGAAAATATCTTTTATACACATAAATATGACTTTGACATGCTAAAATTACTTGATTTAGAGTTTGCGTTATCACTACATGCCTCCTCATTCATTTTACTTTTTGTGTGTCGTGTATGAGTTTGCTCAATAATCATGAGCAAATGGGTCAGGGTTTCATATATTACAATTAGTTTTCATAATTTTCAGAGCTCAAAATTAAGGATTTACCCAATTTATCTCTGACCACACCATAAATAAACAGTTAATTATTTCTTAGCCACACATTTTAAGTGTGTGAAAACATGCAAAAGCTGAATACTATACTTTTTATTTAACAAAACATATGCACAGTCATTTGTCCTGGCTAAAGGTCCCAGATCACCAGTTAACTACACATAAATGGGGAGTTATTCTCCCATTAAAGCAATGTTATTGTGAAAAAAATGATAATTAAACCATATTAATGCAAAAGAAAGCAGGTAAAAAAATACTGTGTGATAATGAAAGGATGATCAAACACGCATGGTTAATGATAGACCCATAAATTATCTTTTCAAACAATGGTTAAACCGAAAGCAACTGGCGCTGCTTACAATAAGTCAACTCTGGAACTCTGGAAAGCAGCAAGACTGTAGCCTGTAGGTGCATGTTCCTCCCTTTTTGTTCAGTCTATTTGAAAGAGAATCGATCGCATCAGTTGTGTTTCTAGACACAGTTGCTTCGCAAAAGGAAACGGGAGCGCGCACGCGTTATAAACAGTCGCGCGCATCACCTCAGCTGTTAGCGCGCGAGATTATCCTCTCATCCGGTATTCACCTGCTTTGCTCGCGCGAAGTTGCGAACGCAATTATTTTTGTCAGTCGTGTTGCTTCTCGATCGCCTGTGCATGCATATTGGACCATCCTTATTGTCGAACGCTGCTTTTAAGAATTATTATCTGGGAAAATAATTTTCAACCAGCCAAAGTGGCTAGTGGGAGTGTCTGTCTTACCCGCCATCGCCGAAATCTACCCGCATTTGGCGGGTTGGCGGGTGTTAATGTAAAGCCCTGTCTACATATAATTTTAAATGACAAAAAATTACTGTAAAAAATTTAGGGATAGTTTCTGTACAATAAGGGTTGTTTTTTTTTACAGTTTGACTCAACAGTGCATATTTTTGTGATGTGACTATCACAGATGCACACATTGCAGAATCGATGCTGAAACAACATTAAAACAGAATGCATTATAGCAGCTTTACCTTCATGGATTTGTAAAGGCGTTTGGCGAAGAACATGGGCCTGCTTCTGATGCACTGAACTGTGAAATACATAAACACGGTGTGAGATTTCAGAGAAAAGGCAAATATGAGTTTCAGGAACTGATCTCGATCTGCCGAAGCTTACCGACAGCCAGCATGAGTCTCTCAAAGTCTCCGGACAGCTCACTTTTAATACTGTCCTCAATGGATTTCTCTGCAATTTTCTGATATTCATCAAACACTGGGAAAAACAAACAATGATATACTCGCTCTGTTACATCATCCTGAATTCATCCACGCTACTCTGATAATCCTAATACTGCAATAACTCTTAAACATCAATAATCTAAATGTAATTGACAATCATAATATTGCACAATAATCACACAGCATTCAGGTCACTGCGTTGGGTTTTTGGTTTGGTGCAAACTCTGGATCAGATGATTACTTATGTATGATTTCTTTATTTTAGCGCCATGTCAGGCTACACTGTAAAAAATAAACGTTATTCATTCATTCATTTTCTTGTCGGCTTAGTCCCTTTATTAATCTGGGGTCGCCACAGCGGAATGAACCTGAGCCGAGGCTCGAACCAGCGACCCAGACCTTCTTGCTGTGGGGCGACAGCACTACCTACTGCGCCACTGCCTCGCCAAAATAAACCTTATTTTACAGGTAAATTTTTTTACAGAATTTTCCAGTTTTTCATTATACAGTGAAACACCAGGGGCCTCATGTACGAAGACTTGCGTGGAAATCTTACTAAAACATTGCGCACGCACAAAGCTGTAAATGTGCGTACGCAGAAAAAAATTCAGATGTATGAAACACTGCGTACGCCGAATCTCACGCATATTCTTTTGTACATCCGAATGAACGTGAAACTGAGCGCAACATGCACGAGCACAAAACCCCTCCCTGCCTCCTCCCCCGTATGAATATGCTAATGACTATGCTAATGTCAAAACCCAACGAAAAAGCATCGGCAAAAGCAAGCAAAAAGAGAAACTTTGAACAGAATGTGAATTGGAGGTGCTGCTTTCGGAGGTAGACCGGAGAAAAGCGGTGTTATTTGCAAGTTTGTTCTCCGGAATTAACAACAAAAGAAAAAAATAGAGTGGGAGAGTTTAGCTGATGCGGTTTAAAAACTGAGTGCATTAAAAAAAGAAATAGTGTGGTTTATATCTGTAAAATGTTGCAGTATCCTTAACGGTCTCAGTGGTGCACCTCGTAAGACGCATGTGATTGTGAATTGACACGTTCGAGCATGAACTCGGCTCGAATCCAGCGTCTGATGAACTCTTTCTTCTTTTTTCCCCCACTTTGTAGAGAGGAATTTAACACAACTGCCTCTAGGAGTCGCCAATGGAAATAAAACAGACACGCACAAAAAATGTGCGTACGCCAGGCAGAAAGCTGCCGTGAAGCTGCGCACATTCCCACGTTCAGTTCATTGTTAGTAAATCCAAACGTGAGCGATTCTGAGCGTGAAACCTGGCGTACGCAAAGTTTTTGTTTTTACAGATTTGTTATGTAATATAAAATTCTAGCATTAAATTTACAGTTATTGCTTGTAATTTGGTATTACATTATTTTTCTGTGTTTTAAAGTAAATTTGATGTATTTTAAGAGATTAACACATAATTTTACGCTAATATTTACAGATTATTCCTATAATAGGGAAACACAATTCAGTCAAATATGTTTTTAGTGAAGATAGTCAACATATGAAGATTAACATGAGGTTAATAAAGTCAAATAATAGCCGATTGTTTGTCGGCTGCATATAATACATGCTCTATAAACTATAACATTTTTATTTTACTATAACAATGTTGCTATGCAAACTGTGACGATCACCAGTGATCTAGCAGCTGTGGATCGCTGGAATACTACACACGTTACTTTAACGAACTACAACTCCCAGCATGCAACTCGCACACTCGGGTCCCTAATTCTAACTCATAGATATATACATTAGATGTCGCCTATACCCTGTTGTTGTCTATTGGAAGGAATGTGTCAATAGAGCCGCCATTTTAGTACAGGGTAGCGCTCCATTGAAATGAATGCGGGACCAGGCTGCAGTGGAGGACTGTGGCCATCCAAAGTCAGAGATAGATACATACAGTTGAAGTCAGAATTATTAGTCCCCCTGAATTATTAGCACCCCTGTTTATTTTTTTCCTCAACTTCTGTTTAACGAAGAGAAGATTTTTTTCAACACATTATTTTCTAAAAAATTAAATAAAAGTTTTAATAACTCATCTCTATTAACTGATTTATTTTATCTTTGCCATGATGACAGTAAATAATATTTAACTAGATATATTTTCAAGACACTTCTATACAGCTTAAAGTGACATTTTAAGGCTTAACTAGGTTAATTAGGCTAACTAGGCAGGTTAGGGTAATTCGGCAAGTTATTGTATAACAGTGGTTTGTTCTGTAGACTATCGAAAAAATATGTAGCTTAAAGGGGCTAATAATATTGTCCTTAAAGTGGTGTGTAAAAAAAATCAAAAACTGCTTTTATTCTAGCCGAAATAAAACAAACAAGAGTTTCTCCAGGAGAAAAATTATTATCAGACATACTGTGAAAATTTCCTTGCTCTGTTTAAATATTTAAAAAAGAAAAATAAATTCAAAGGGGGGCGAATAATTCTGACTTCAACATATATTTATGATTGGGAGTTTTCCAGGTGGTCAGTATGCCATTTTTTTTTAAATTCCGAAAATTATAATTTGACATCACTTTTTCTACATTGATGGATCAGTGAGCGCACAGGCATTTCAAGGTCAAGGTCAAGGTCAAGGTAAAATTTATTGTCTCCCGTAGGAGAAATTTGTTTTAGAAAAAAGGTTCTGCAGTACATAGAAACCAACAAGACAACATGTAACATACATACACATTTAAATCTAATCCTAAAATACCTCCTAATATAAATACGATTCCATAAAATCAGTAATTTTTAATTTTTTTTTTTATAAAAATAAAATACCATGTGCCCCGCTGCCCTCTGTTGTGCCAACCAATCCCGTTATGTTAATCTTTGACCGTCCTTCCCTACTTGCTCGTTGATCAACTTAATTGAAAAAGGAACAAAAGAATGTTTATATCTATTATACTTGCACAATGGGACCCAATATCTTCTGCCAGAATTTATCAGCTCATATTCCAAAGACAGCACATGTGAAGAATCAGATAAAATCTTGTTTGTTGGATTGTGCACAACTCGAAGATGTCTTTTAGAGAACCAAGTGTCTTAATTCCCATGATTTTTCCTGCCACTCTCATCAGGTTATTTACTTGGGTTTTCATTTTTACTGTCAGATTCCCAAACCAAACAATAATCTTAAAATAGACTCTATTGTTGCTTTATAAAAAGTCATCATTATGCTGCTACTCACTCCGAATAATCTTAGTCTGTGTAAAAAGTGTAATCGCTGATGAATTCGTGCACAAAGACTTGACACCTGAGAGTGCCAATTAAGTTCACGATCAATATTCACTCCTAAATATTTATATGAATCAACCTGCTTAATGTCTTTATCATAAACCACAATAGAGCTCCTATAGAGCTCTTCCTGACCTGGGGTCTATGATGACCTCCTCCATTTTCCAACCCAAGCTCATTCTGGAAACATAGCCCCGCGGACGATTCTGGAGACTGCGATTTACGTGGCCAGAGGTACGTAAAGGCCGCGTTTGGTTTTTTTCGAGCGAACGCCGCGGGGCGGTGTGGCGCTGCTCCGCCCCTCCTCTTCGCGCTCGCCGGCCGACGGCTCGCCTCCTAGGGCTTTCCCGACGCAATCAGTTTGTCCGCCTAGCTCACAGCGTTGCGTCGGCGGAGCGGAGGCCCCGGACGAGGAGGAGGAGGAGGAGGAGCCGGCCGCGGTGGACGACGACCGGGATCGAGTCCGGGGAACAGCACGTTCCGGAATTCAGGTGAGACGAAAAACGGAATCCGAAAAATGAGGGCGAGAACGCGGCGGGATCTGAAAACACAGTCGAAATCGAAGACGAGGGCTTTTGCTTTTTTTTTTTTTTTTCGATCCGGCGGCTTTTCGCGCGAGAACGGCGCGGGCGTGAACGCCGCGCGCTCCCGAGATCCGCGAAAACAAAAAAACGCTCGAATACGTACCTCCCGGGACGTAAATCACGGTCCGCAGAAACGTCCGCGGGGCTACGTTTCCACAATGAGCCCGGGTTGCCATTTTCTTAACATTAATTTCCAAATTGTGATCATCACACCAGCTGACAAACCATTCTACAGCCGCTCTATATTCCCCGATGCTGGCATCCTTTGTGAAAAGGTGCAATAGTAAAGTGTCATCGGAAAAACAAAACCAAAACCAAACAAAAATCTGACAAAAAGCTTGTGCTTGTGTGTATGGAAATGTATTATCCTCCCACCCTGTTAAATTTGATCTAATCCGTGTCCTGAAACACACCTCCTCTCCTGCTTTCACTTCTCATACTGACGGAGGGAGCGATTCGTTTGCAAATGAATCTTTGTTATGAACGTCTCCTTCACTGACAATAATACAGTTTCTGGCAGCGCAGCATCTCGTTGTCATATTTCTTTTGCATTGTTTGCTGATTTTATTCAACAAAACTAGCATAAACCGAGTGTTTAGTGCGAGCTGGTGCTCCTTTGCCTTATGCTGAATGCAGTAACTGACTGTATATGATCTTCAATAACGTGTCCTGTTTAGCACAAAAATTCAGAACATACAAAAACGTAAAAAACTAAATCTTACCTATGAAATGTTCTGCCTTTGTGCTTTGTTTTCTCGGTACTACACCTGTAGACAGCGCTAAAGTCCAGCATCTTCACATAGTAACACTGTCTTGACTAGTGCAGTTGTATGACACTGTACCAATGTGGCGGCGCTATTGTCGCATGCTCAAGGTCCCTATGTGATATCTAGTGTATATATCTATGATTCTTACTGTCAGAAAATTGTTATGGACATATATCTAGGACTATAAACTCAGCACACTGTTTTTTCACTGTTTAGTGAGCATTACGAGGGCCAATAGTTTAGACTTTGACTGTATATAATTATTAATAATAAATCTGATCTCCGAGGAAGCAATTTAACATTATTTTCTCACACATGATTAAATATCGGCAGCGTGTTGCTGACACAAAGGAAAGATTGTGTTAGAGATCTGCGCGGGACTAAATTTTGAATCCCGCTCCCGGCTGCACCCACCAGGTTTTAGCCTGAACCCGACCGCTCCAGCTTATATTGAGAATTTATTGTCCCGCTGCCCGCCCCGCCCCGTTTTCTGGCCGCTGCGCCCGATCCCGCTAAAGAGCGGGGGAGAACAAAACCGAAAATCCCCCAGCTATACAGTCCAGACAGCCAAGCTGTCTGTATAAACACACACACACAGCACCAAGTACACACACACAGACAAATCTCTCTCTCATACGCGCGCGCGCACTAACACACACACAAGCACCAAGCAGACACACAGGCGTTTGCTGTTATATCAACTCAAAGGCTTGTAATACCATGTATCAAGTACCAATGTAATAGGTTTTATATAAAGGTATATAAATACTGAGTCGCGCCAGCTCCGGGCTGCAGCGCACATTACTCTCGGGCCGATTCCGGCGCGGATGTGGCAGCATCGGCTCGCTTACGGCCGCCGCATATGGCCCGAATTGATTAGGGCCGGAATCGGGCAGTGAGTCCACAAGCATCCGGAGTCCGGCAGCCGGAGCCGGGCTGAGTGGTAAGTCTCCGGCAGGCGAGAATCTAGCCGGAACTGGCCCGAGTGTATTTTGCTATCTGGGAAAGCTCTCTCTCTCTCATTCGTGCGCGCGCTCACTAACATACACACACAAGCACTAAGCACACACACAGGCAAAGCTCGCTCTCGCTCTCTCTCTCTCTCTCATTCGCATAGCAATATCCGCGATATAGCTAGACAGCCCGCTCCCGTCCCAAATTAAACCCGTTACCGACCGCTCCCGCGATTTATTCTGAAATGTATGCAGACTTAATGCAGACCTCTAGATTGTGTCGTAGCGGAGTAGTGTTACTCAGCAGAAATCTGTGTGTCCAGTGTGTGTTTGTGGTTTTCATACCCAGTTGTAAATGGGTCACACTTCGGTTTCCCAGCAGCATGATGAATTTAGCCTCGTCTGTGCCCCACTGTGCCTCTCCTGCCTCATACAGCTCCTATAATCACATTACACACACACACACACACACACACACACACACACAAAGTATATAGTCATTTTTTTAAATGATTTCATCATCACTAAAATGACTTCATTATGTAACAGCTCATGGGCGACACAATGGCTCAGTGGTTAGCACTGTCGCCTCACAGCAAGAAGGTCACTGCATTTCTGTCCAGTTGGCTTTTCTGTGTGAAGTTTGCATGTTCTCCACGTGTTGCCGTGGGTTTTCTCTCACAGTCCAAACACATGCCCTATAGGTGAATAGATTTCCCAGTACTGGGTTGCAGCTGGAAGGGTATCCACTGCACAAAACATGCTGGAATAGTTGGTGGTTCATTCCGCTGTGGTGACCCCTGTTATGTTTGTTAGTTTTCTTTCTTTGTGTATTTATTTTTCTCACCCGCCTCTCCGCTTGCTCAGCCCTTAGGGTTCTTATTGGTTTACCATCTGTCCATCATCATTATGACGGTGTCGGTTCCACCAATCCCAGGATGAGCCGCAAGGATTTAAAGCCCCGACAGACCAGTGTGTGGTGTGCGCTCTGCCTCGGCATACCTTTTGTGCAATTTGTTTGTGATATGCTTAGGTGTTTAGTGATTATCTCAGTTTACTGTGATATTAGAAATCTTGGTGTCATGTTTGATAGAGCTCTGTGTTTTAATAGCCATGTTAAGTCTATTGTACGTACATGCTTTTTTCACCTGAGGAACATTGCAAAATTAAGAGATATGGTGTCAAAGGAAGAGATGGAGATGCTTGTTCATGCCTTCATCTCTTCTAGATTGGATTATTGCAATGTTCTGTTCACTCGTCTGAACAAATCCTCCATGGAGCGATTGCAAGTTGTGCAGAATGCAGCTGCGAGGCTTTTAACCAACACCAGTAGGAGGTCACACATTACACCTGTGCTTAAGGCACTTCACTGGCTCCTTATCAGTTTTATTGTAAATTTTAAGATTCTGGTCATTACATATAGAGCTTTGCATGGTCAAGCACCCCTGTATATTCGAGATCTTTTAAGCCAGGCGTGTCCAAACTACGGCCCGCGGGCCATCTGCGGCCCGCAATCAGTTTTGTGGCGGCTCGCGAGGCTTTTTATAAATATCAATAGAATCTGGCCCGCTATACAAAAATGAACGTAATTCAATAAATAACCACCGGGTGTCGCTATTAAATGCATTCAATTAAGCAGCAGTTCTTGTTATGATCTATCTATCTATCTATCTATCTATCTATCTATCTATCTATCTATCTATCTATCTATCTATCTATCTATCTATCTATCTATCTATCTATCTATCTATCTATCTATCTATCTATCTATCTATCTATCTATCTATCTATCTATCTATCTATATACACACAGTTACAGTCTGATGTATTAGCCCCTCTTTGATTTATTTCTTCTTTTTTTAAATATTTCCCAAATGATGTTTAACAGAGCAAGGACATTTTCACAGTATGTCTGATAATATTTTTTCTTCTGGAGAAAGACTTGTTTGTTGTATTTCGGCTAGAATAAAAGCGTTTTTAATTTTTTTATGAACCATTTAAGGTCAAAATATATATATATATATATATATATATATATATATATATATATATATATATATATATATATATATATATATGCGTGTCTGTGTGATGTGTGTAAAATTTGGCCCGCGACAACGTTGTTTTTTTTGTATCTGGCCCTCGGCCCAAAAAGTTTGGACACCCCTGTTTTAAGCAGTCACTTATGCAGCCGGTCTCTGAGGTCTTCTGGCAAAGACCTTTTAGCCATTCCAAGAACTCGCCTTCTGTGTGGCGGCTCTGGAACTCTCTCCCGCTAGCACTGAGAACTCAGGGATCACTTTTTAAAAAGCATTTAAAGACGCACCTTTTTGGTCAAGCTTTTAATTAACAGTATTAGTGTTTCTGTATTTGCATTTTTAATTAGTTTTAATATGTTTTAACATCTCTTCTCTTATTGTCCTGGGTTCTTTTACTTGTCAAGCGCTTTGTGACTCAATGTCCGGGAAAGGTGCTATATAAATAAACCTTTACTTACTTTACTGTCGTAATTCGAGTTTGCTTGTTGAACTTCGTTGGCCTCAAGTTAAATATTGTGAATATATATGGTTATTGTGTGGTTCCATGCCCGTAGCCAGGGGGGGTTTGGAATTTTTTGAACGAATGAATAATTTAATTATTTTATGTAATTTAATATTATATAATATATTTATTATATAATTAATATAATATATTTATATTCAATATATATTGTAATAAAGTGTCATTTTAAATAACTCTGGCCAGTAATTTGAATCCTATAGAGCTTCAAAGCCACAATAATGTGACGCGAGTCCAGAATTTGTCCCAAATGAGCTAGTTTGTCCTATTTTCATCCTATTTTGACTGCTCTGCCATCATAAATAATGAAAATATTCCATAAAAAAGGCTTTTTTTTTTTACCAAAGAGGCAAAAAAAAAATCTAAAGAATTAATTATTATTGTATTATTATTATTATTATTATTATTATTATTATTATGTTTTAAATATTAATAAATTAATAAATGATAGTTTTTTTTACTTTAAAACTTTAACAGATTGCTATTTTTTCCTAATGACATATGATGTAATAAACTTGTATTTTAAAAATTAGTCTTGTTTGAATTTTTTTAACTGCAGTTTTTAGGAAATATTTTTAGAACATCAAAAAGTGTGGTTATGATGACATCTGACTAGCTAATCCAGCAAAAAAAAGTCACTAAAATGCAGTATTTAAATCTCATAGTTAAATAGAAACTGAGGTGTGTAACTGCTAAAAGATCCACTGAGAAAAAAAGCACCACCCCTTACACCAGGCTGGCTACGGGCCTGGGTCCTAAACTTAGCCTTTGACCATCTTGTTAGGTTTGTTTTCGTTTAGATGGATGTTTTGTTAGATTAGTTTGAGTGTTTTGCCACTTGTGTAATTTTGAGTTTTGTAGTTTAATTAGTTCGGGTGTCGTGTACACTGAAGATCTGGGTTTTTAATTTTTTTGTCACAAAGTTCAGACTTTAGATTTAAAGATTGTTTTGTTTTGCTAACTTCTTTGATTTGGCTTGTACACTCATTGTTTTTGCTTAAAGATAATAATTATAAATGTTTATTTTTTTTACATTTATTATTGTTATATATTGTTTAAACCACTGAGTAAAAAAAGCTTAAAAAGAGAATTGATTCCTGCCTCATCCTTGATTTGTCGCACACATTACACCTGTCTCACCTAAATGTTACAGCATCCCACTTTAACATCTTAAAATCGTAACAACCCCTGATAAATAAGTGACTAAGCCGAAGGAAAATGAATGAATGAATGACTGAATTTAACAACTAGTGTACACTTTTTTATAAGGAAAATACGCTCAGATACTTCCCTGACATTGAGAATGTTTACAATAAAACAACACTAAGAGGAAAATCACTGTTTTTGTCAAACAAGTCTGTGTTAGCATTGCAAACATCTTATGTAACAAGACATTAGCAGAAAGTGGAGAATATTCTATTGCATAACTTCTTCATAATTTCGATGTTATTATTATTAATTTATTTTGTGATTGTTGTTAATATTTCAACGTCACCAGTGGTTGTGTAAGCATTTCACTGCATATCACACTTAAATAATCAGCAGTAATCAGCAGTGTATGCTAGGTCCCGACCAGTCTAGGGTTGGCGGGAACAATAACAAAAGTATAAATAAATTAAACTTTTAATTACTCCATTTAGGGTTTTCCCCTTCTCCTGTCCCAGCTTACAATGATCACAACAAGTCTATCGAGAAATAACAAGGTTCATTGTTTTAAACAATAAAGGTCTCAGAAGCATCTCTTCGGAAAGGAATCCGAGGCAAAATAATAAACAAAAAGTCAGCTAACTTGCGGTGAAATATTCCTAACTCATTCATTCATTCGTTTTCTTGTCGGCTTAGTCCCTTTATTACAGTTTTTCTCAGTCGCTTTGGTGCGTTTCTCACAAAACGAGTGCATTTCTGCACAACAGTTAATGCATTTCTCAAAACAATTAGTACAAACTGCAAAACCTAGCTGATAACCTGCAAAAGCGCATAACATGCTAAAAATGGAAAGTTCATTCCTCAAAAGCAAGTATTGACGTCAATCAAAGTGTCACTATCATCAAAATGAAAAGTCCTGACACCATTGTTTATGAACAAGATAGTCAAATGGCTTTGTCAGGTTTTCATTATGAGTTTACTCTGGACATTTTTTTCAATGCAAAAAAGTCAGATGTTGGTGGCACTTCATGAAAATGCTCAAGACAGCACTGTATACTATTTGCACAGCCATTTGAAAACTACAATAAAGTGAGACATCACTGCATTTAGTGAGGTATCTGAGTACAAGACACTGAATATGTATGTTTCACATTTTTACTCTGCATTTGCTCTTTACAATCCTAATTTACTCACAGCATTGTGCAAAAGAATAAACACACCCTTATTTACAACAAACATAAACTCCCTTTAGGTAGAGCTGTGCACAACTGTAGACAATATTGCAGTATATATTGAAACTGAACCTACAACATACACAGGTCTGTAAATCATTTATCAAATTGTTCAATTTTAAAGACATTTTTAGGAAAATAAAGATTACATTTTTATATATAAAGTTTGCTTGACCGATTTTGACATCAAGTTCAACATTTTTGTATGTAATGACTCAAGTAATGAAATGAGGACTGTTAGTTTTATATGCAATGACTATTCAGCATTTACATGTTTAGTTAATTTTATCTGACATGCCATAAGCAAATGATAATGTTATAAATAGCAGAGACTTGTATGAAAGCAATTGACGCATGTCCAAAAGCATTTGCAATTTGCTGGAAGGAATGAGAAACTGCTACTAGGATGTGCACAAATGACTAATTGTTTTGAGAAATGACCTGTTGTGCAAATGTAAATAGTGTAGTGAGAAATGCAGCAAAGTGAAATGAATGCGGAATGAATCGCCAACTTATCCAGCAAGTTTTTATGCAGCAGATGCCCTTCCGGCCGCAACCCATCTCTAGGAAACATCCACACACACACACTCATACACTACCGACAATTTAGCCTACCCAATTCACCTATCCGCTTGTTAAGTATGACGTCACGCGAAGCGGCTTCCAGGTCCAAGCGCTCTATTCACCTGAATGGGGAGACTCATAAAACGGTAATAATAAATGTTTACAACAGGATTTAATACTTTCAAAAATCACGATCGCAATATATATGTCCATGCCTAATATCCGGTGGCCAGAAAGTGTTTCATTTTTTTCATAAATTGTAAAAATTTTGGTATTTGTTATGCAGCAAGCCCAGAGAATGTTGTGTACACTCTGACTTTATGTAAAATTTACTTTAATGTGTGATATGAATAAAAAGTGATCATAAACGAATGATTTCTCAACTCAAATGAGTGGCGGCTTGGACCCGGAAACAGTATTACATATGTCACAAACACATCACGACTTAACAAGTAGATATCGCTTGTCTTTGGACTGTGGGGGAAACCGGAGCACCTGGAGGAAACCCACGCGAACGCAAGGAGAACATGCAAACACAGACCTTCTTGCTGTGAGGCGACAGCACTACCTACTGCACCACTTCACCCATTATCCTAACTTACCTGCTTAATTAAAAAGTACCCCAAATAAAACTACAACAAACTTCCCATTCTCCCTTGCTGCCACAAACCAGGAGAAAACGTTTTTAAAGTCAATTTATCCATAAATAATATACAGTTTTAATAAGTGAAAATAAAGCACACAGGCTCAGTTCTAATACAGCGAGCAGTTTAGGAAAGAAATAACGAAATCAGTCAATCACACCACTAAATAACTTTTTTTTTTTTTTTAATCGCTGTTACATGAAAAATCTGAATTCTGCCATCATGTATTATCCTTCTTAATTCCTCTGATACCAGTTTTATCGTGACTTCAGCAGCTCCCTTACCATGGTGTGGAAAAAATACTATGGAAATCAATGGGACGCATTCTTCAAAATATCTTCTTTTGTGTTTAAGAAATTCATTTCGGTTCACAACAACATGAAGGTGAACAAATGATGGAAGAATACTCATTTTGAGAGTCCAAACTAAGAAGTGTTGATTATTAAATATTTTAATTAATAATCTTTTTTCCATATATGGTTAATGTTTCTTCTATATTATTCATTCATTCTTCTATATCAGTGGTTCTCAAACTTCTTTCACCAAACACCACCGCAGAAAAAAATAACCATAATCACCGGTATTATAATAAAGTAGCGTAGTTGGCCAAATTAAGCAGCTACAGCACTGCACAGTTCGAAAATGAGGCAGAGTCATATTCATTCAACGAAATTATATTCTATACAAAATATGAAGTCGATCAGTCGGTTCTTGTCACGTGACTCGCAGTGCGGCTTTCTGAAAAATTAGGATGTTTTCAACTGGGGACACCTGGAATACATAAGCGCATCGTGCTGCAGTACTCATATTACTAGCCTGTGGGTTAAATTTTGGCACTCAAGTGACCGAGATGTAACAAGAGATTACGTTCAATTACGAATAAAAGATTTTTCAAAATAAATGATCGTTCAGTTCAGACTCAGATTATAAATAAAACGGAAATAATTAATGATTTTTTGTGCGACCCTGTACCAAATGATCTATAGAGCGGTGCCGGTCTGTGCCCCGAGAGTGTCAAGACCACTGCTCTAGCAAGTATCTGCTCTGCAAGCACCACGCACTTCATTCTGTAGTTCTGCGCCAATTAAATTGATTTTTAGCAGCTGATGACGCGATGTACTAAAGTAAACATTTTACGCGTTGTTGGTGTTATTGTACGAATCAAATTCATTACTCAGTGATTCCTTCGCGTACTACTAGAAGTAAGCCCGCGTACCACTGTTCTATATTATTCATTCACTCTCTATTTCAGAGGTCGTCACAGTGGAATGAACCGCCAACTATTTCGGCATATGTTTTATGTAGCAGATGCCCTTCCAGCTGCAACCCAGTACTGGGAAACACCCATACACACCCATTCTCTCTCTCTCTCTCAAACACACACACACACACACACACACACTCATACACTACAGACAATTTAGCCTCCCCAATTCACCTCTACTGCATGTCTTTTGGATCGAAAACCAGAGCACCCGGAGGAAACCCAAGCGAACGTGGGGAGAACATGCAAACTTCACACTGGTGTAACTGACCCAGCCGGGGCTTGAACCAGCGACCTTCTTGCTGTGAGGCGACTGTGCTAACCACTGAGCCACCGTGCCACCCCTTCCAAATGCTTAGCTGAACTTTTTAATATTATGTTTTAGATGTATTTTACATAATAGCATTGAAATGCAACACAGTTTTTTGTTCCTGATAATTTGTGCAGTTTCCCAACAAGTGACAATTTTGAACAGATGATCTTATTTTGCTAATCATTAACGAGTAATTTTTCACTTAAGTTATTAATGCACAACATTGAATGCAAACACAGCTAATGCTTTAGTACTTGCTGAATATAATTGACACTCACCTGAGCATCTTCCTCCACAAGGTCTTCACTAACAACATCATCTTCCTCTCTGGTCCCCTGAGAAGAAATCATCATTACTATAAAATCATTATTACTGAACAAACGCAATGCAGATCATAACAAATGCAATAAAACATCTTATTGTAAATATAATGTCTCAGGGTGAATAAATATGGAGGACAAAGCAAAATAAGACATGTGACAAATCAATAAAATAAAATAAAAACAGATAAATTAAAAAATAAAATGTTAAAAATAAAACAAAATAAATTAAATAAAATAAATAAACAAACAAATAAAAAATAAAATAAAATGCAACACATAAAATATAAAAAATAAAATATTTATTAAAAAAATAAAATAAACAAACAAATAAAAAATAAAAAATAATATTAAACATATAATACTAAAAATAAAATATTTAAAATAAAATAAACAAATGATTGAACAAATGAATTAAAAAATTAAATTAAATTAAATATAAAAATTTTATATTTAAAATAAAATAAAGCATGCTAGGATGTAGCTACTCGTTACTAGTTTCATATTAGATTCACAGATTTATACAAGATTTATGTATTTGATAACGCCTATTTTTACTGTAAAGAATTTGCATTAAAAACACTGCATGAAAAAATTAAGATGTGCAATAAATCTTAAAATGTACTTGAACAAAATAAAATGAGGCAGACCTTTTTAAAATGAAAAATAAAAAGATTTGTTTAAAGGCACAGTTCATCTAAAAATAAATTATTCATTTTTTACTCTCCCTCAAATGGTTGCAAGCTTTCATGTTTCTTTCACAAAAGAAAATATTTTTTAATTTAATTTAATTTAATTTAATTTAATTTAATTTAATTTAAATAAAATAAAATAAAATAAAATAAAATAAAATAAAATAAAATAAAATAAAATAAAATAAAATAAAATAAAATAAAATAAAATTATTTTTATTCAGGTACTGTAGGTCCAGCATTTTATCAAGGTCTACAAAAAAGCAATTAAATGTAAAAAACACTGGATAGTCTTAAAAAATAACTTATTAAATATACATTAATCCTTATTAATATATAAAAATTACTCTGCAACAAATCCCTTAAATTTAACAGCCTTCAGAACAGAAAAAGTAATGGAAAATAAATACATTTAATGAACAAAGTTATCGTGACTTTTGTTTTATTTAATGTAATGTTGTGTATATTTGTTTAATTATAATTGTATTGATAGTTAAAGCACCATGAGATAACACGAACTAAAAATGAACAATAATTAACTAACATGAACAAATACTGTCATTAATGTATTGTTCATTGTATTATTCATGTTATTAAATGCATTAACTAACATCTATTTAATGCAACCTTATTGTAAAGTATTACCAAAGGTGTTAAACACAACCATAAACCAGACCTGAAGCAAAACAACCAGCATCTTCTTAAAATGTCCAGACGTGTCACCTATAACATCTGCTTCCAGGTCTCGGCCGTATGCTGTGGACAAAATTACACTATTAGCTGTTTGTTTGAGTGTTTATTACAGGTTTACTGGTGTAAAACACTCACCATCTGAATACGCCTCAACCAGAGCATGAATCTGCTCATTGGTTCTGGAGGCCAGGATTTCAATCAAACATTTCTCATCTGTTCCGACTCCCTGTAAATCACAGCAGGTCAGTCACACAAAGAACAGCCCCACACCAAAAAACAAATACTTGAGTCATTACCGTAGTAAAATTACAACACTGTAATAAATTATATGATCAATTAGTCATGACAACATAGTTTAATAAGTTATAATTAACTACTAACATAAGTTAATCATGTTCTAACTTAATTTTATAATTTAAGCAACCTGTTTTAAGTCAGTTTAACATAACAAAAGTTCAAATGACTCATACGGTTAATTTGATTCAGCTGAAAAATCAAAGACAACTAGTATATTTTTAACCCAGGCTTATTGTGGAAACGCAGCCCCGGGGACATTTCTGGATACCGCGAAATACGTCCCGGGAGGTACGTATTTGTGCGGTTTTTGTTTTCGCGAATCCGCGAGAGGCTGCTGTGCTGTGCTTTTTCGCATCTCGAACACCTCTCGGGAGCGTGTCTCGGGAGCACCTGTTCTCGCATGAAAAGCTGCCAGAGGCCACTGTTGAGTGATGGTCTGTCCGACTGACCGAATGACTGAATGCCAATCGGCCGACCCATCCACCCTCCTCCTCCTTTTCTAAACCCAAGTGACCATTTACAAAAGCCGTCCAGAAAAGAAAAGCAAAAGCCCTCGTCCGATTTTGACCGAGTTTTCGGTATTCACCGCATTCTCACCCGACAATCACACCACCCGTAGCGTTCGCTCGAAAAAACGAAATGCCGCCATGTACCTCCTGCCACGTAAATCGCGGTCTCCAGAAACCTCCACAGGGCTACGTTTTCAGAATGAGCTTGGGTTGCATATTTTACTGTGTAGTCATTTAATATTTAATAAGTTCAAACTAAAGATGCATGATACAGTTGAAGTCGAAATCATTATAGAAGCCTAAGTCTAGTTAATCACTGAAGCTAAGCAGGGCTGAGGGCTCTATCACCGTCTTCCCACTCCACCATTATCTGGTGTGTGGTTAGCGTGCTGGTGCTGTTGTACTGTGGCTGCCGTCACATCATCCAAGTGGATGCTGCAACCCCCCCACCCCTCCCAACCCCTTAGTAGTGCGCCTCGCTTAAACATTGCTTAAATCACACAGGATGTACAGCGATGCGCAAATATCTTTACATATCAAAAAGAACCAAAGGATTAAAATATTTTTCAACTATTATTTTCTACATAAATATAAAAAACACTGCCTCCATGCCTCATCTCGGAGGGATATTTCAGTTTATTTACAACAACAGTTTATTATTATTAGCAGTTTTATTTATTATATGCATATTTATATTTGTTTTATTAAAAGTAGGATTAGATTTGTCCACCTGTCAGGTTTTAGACCTAATGGGGTAACCACACTTCATAATTATTGCTCATTTATTTGTTTGATACAAATTAAAATAGAATTTAGAAATAGTTTTGAACAAATCTTTGTGCTTACCAAACGAAATTAATTATGTAGTCTAATCAATGTCTGTGCGTACAACACGTTTTACTATCCACGAAAGAGAGAAAAAGAAAGTGAAAGCAAAGGTCGATTGAAGGAGGCTCGTTCTTTATCCTCACTCTGCAGTTGCTCTGTTTAACTGTTTTCTCACTAATGAAGCGTTCAGTTTTTCCACTTACAAAGTCCGCCATGTAAATAGCAAATTCTCCATGGCACGGCACAACTGACTTCTAAAGGGAATGTGAGATGAAATTGTTTTTTGCATAACTCATTGAGAGAATAAGCACAACCCTGCACAACCCTGTTAGACCATGCGCCGCAGCGCAGAGCATATTTATCAGTCCTTAAAATAGCAAAAGTGGATTCAGACACTCTCCTAATACTTTTGCGTCATGTGCTTTAGACTTTGTGCCTAAATCGCTAAAATAGAGCCCTAAAACTCATGGTGCAAAAGCATTCAGGCATTTGCTATTTTAAGGATGGTAAAATACACTTTGCACCAAGGCGCACGGTATAACAGGGTTGTGCTTATTCTCTTAATGAGATATAATCCTAACTTACCTGCTTAATTAAAAAGTACCCCAAATAAAACTACAACAAACTTCCCATTCTCCCTCGCCGCCACAAACCAGGAGAAAACGTTTTTAAAGTCAATTTATCCATAAATAATATATAGTTTTAATAAGTGAAAACAAAGCACACAGGCTCAGTTCTAATACAGCGAGCAGTTTAGGAAAGAAATAACGAAATCAGTCAATCACAACACTGAATAACTTTTTTTTTTTTAATCGCTGTTACATGAAAAATCTGAATTCTGCCATCATGTATTATCCTTCTTAATTCCTCTGATACCAGTTTTATCGTGACTTCAGCAGCTCCCTTTCCATGGTGTGGAAAAAAATACTATGGAAATCAATGGGACGCATTCTTCAAAATATCTTCTTTTGTGTTTAAGAAATTCATTTCGGTTCACAACAACATGAAGGTGAACAAATGATGGAAGAATACTCATTTTGAGAGTCCAAACTAAGAAGTGTTGATTATTAAATATTTTAATTAATAATCTTTTTTCCATATATGGTTAATGTTTCTTCTATATTATTCATTCATTCTTCTATATCAGTGGTTCTCAAACTTCTTTCACCACCGCAGAAAAAAAAAAAACATAATCGCCGGTATTAAAATAAAGTAGCGTACAACACGTTTTACTATCCACGAAAGAGAGAAAAAGAAAGTGAAAGCAAAGGTCGATTAAAGGAGGCTCGTTCTTTATCCTTACACTGCAGTTGCTCTGTTTAACTGTTTTCTCACTAATGAAGCGTTCAGCCAAGGTGCACGGTCTAACAGGGTTGTGCTTATTCTCTTAATGAGTTATAGGTTTGTTTTGAGTATGATGTACATTAAACCAATCAAGAGTCTCGTCTCACATTCCCTTTAAGAGTCGGTTGCATCGTACCATAGAGCATTTGCTATTTACATGGCAGACTTTGTAGAAGAACTGAACGCTTCACCAGCGAGAAAACAGTTAAACAGAGCATCTGCAGTGAGAACAAAGAACAAGCCTCCACCAATCAGCCTCTTTACTTTCTCTTTACTCCTTTACTTTCATGAATAGGAAAACGATGATGTACTCACTCCACTGAAGACTTTCATAAGACTACATATTTAATGTTGTTTGTTACGCGCAAAGATTTGTTTCAAAACTATTTCTCAATTCAGCTCTAATCTCCAGCAAACAAATAAATGAACGATAATAATGAAGTGTGGTCAAAACACTGAGTTATATCCAAACACACGTCCTGTTCTTATGCCCCATATGGTGATGTAGACATCTGCAAAACCCAACAAATCTAAACTTGTTTTTATGACAACAAATCTAAATATGCATATAATAAATAATACAGCTAATAATAATAACATTATACTAATGCAAATAGTCATGAATAAACTGAAAAAATCCTCCTGGGATAAGGCATGGGGGCAGTGGTGTTTATATATATATATATATGTAGAAAATAATAACTCTTGTAACATTTTAATCCTTTAATTTTGTTCACATGTAAAGATATTTGTGTATTGCTGTACATCATGTGTGTATTAAGACCTGGATAGGCTCTGCTATGGACTTTAGAGCAGCTTTTAGTTGGTCAATGGTCCAGTCTACACTGCAAAAAGTCATTATGTGATGCCTTGTAGATTTCAATAATATTAATATGTTCACTTCATAAAATTAATTTAGGGCATTTTTTTTTTTTTTTTGCTTTGAAATTAATAAAAAAAGGAAGTAAAAAAATCTAATTAATTTTATTATAAGAATTTTAGCTATTTTTATTGAATCATTTCAAAGAGAGAAAGTATTAATTAAATACAACGTGATTAAAATGAGCATTTTCAAATTAGCCAGGGCAAGGGCACAAGTCAGCTTAGCCGAGCAAAAGCGCGAGTGATGAGCGCCCGTCATGACCTTGAGGTGGACATCTCCGCAATTGTCAAAGGACATTTTAAAATGTACCACATTACCAAATAAACCGCATATTCAGTTCCCCAAAATAGCAACGTGCCAACAATGCGCATTAACACACCTCCTTTTCAGACCAGCACACTCATGAGTGGCGCAAATGGATTTGCTATTTAAACAACGAGGTGCAAAACGTGAAAATTACAGCTGTGCTGTTGCAACAAATCGTAACAAACACATCTTGCAGTTTATTGCACCGGGTGTGTGATAGGACCCATAATAAGTGATACGTGCTTTTATATATTGTATTTTGATTTTGGTCAGTGTCCTGTGACTTGGTTACTAAACGCATTTTATTTAACTTTTCTGTCAAGGTAATGATTTGATTTATAATTGAATGTTTAAAGTTATTTTATGGATTTTCTTTTTGATATTCTCTCTCCATGTTAGAATACATCTAGCATTAAAAGTACAGCATGATCAGGTCTTTATTAGAGGGCAAACCAACAAAAGCAGCAAGGGATCGAATACTTTTTACTCTCACTGTATATGTAGAAAATAATAACTCTTGTCAAGCAAATGATTTGATTTATAAATGAAAGTTTAAAGTTATTTTATGGATTTTCTTTGCCCAAAAAAAGAACAGTTGAATAATTAATAAAGGCTTTAAAGTAGGTTTTTGAATTTGGAATCATGCTAAAAAAATAAAATAAAAAAAGTGGAAAAATGGTCTGTCGTCATTGTCTGTTCATCATCGCTGAAATGACTTTATTATGTAACAGCTAGTGTACATTTGCATTGGATAAATACGCTCAGATACTTCCATGACATTGAGAGTGTTTACAATAAAACAATACTAAGAGGAAAATCACTATTTGGACAGATAAGTCAGAGTTAACATTGCAAACAACTTATGTAACAAGACAATAATCAGCAGTTTAAAATCATCGTTATAAGAATCAAAGGTTATGATTCACCTTAAAATCAGAATTCTGTTATCATTTATTACCCTTTTTAATTCCTCTAATATCATTTTTTCTGACTTCTGAAGATCCTTTTTACAGTATGGAAGAAATACTATGGAAGTCAATGGGACGCATTCTTCAAAATAT